GGTCGTCAGTGTCCAGCTCCTCCCCACGACATCACCGGCCCTCCTGATCAGTTTGTTTAGTCAAATAAATATATAAATTATTACTTTAAGAAAGGATTTCTATCAAATCAAACACTTATTATTATTATTATTATTATTATTATTATTATTATTATTATTATTATTATTATTAAAAAAACTGAAGATATGACAGATTTTCACAATAAAGTAACCTGTGAATGTTTAATGTGCTTCACTCACAGAAACAAGCTCAGCTAACGACTGTAACCAGAGTTTCTGTGTCTTCAGCTTCTGTTTCAGCCCGTGGTCGTGTGTCTGCGTGAAGGGCTGGTCGGCGGCCATGTGGAACGGCCTCCCCAACCCGCTGCTGGCCGCCGCCGCCTCCTCTGGATGCTCCGCCCCCGAGCCGTGGCTCCTCCCCGGCTGCAGCTCCGTCTACGACAGCCTGGTCAGGTGAGGAACACCTGGAGTTCAAAACAAAGGATCTCACGTCGGGTTCCTAAAGAGACACTGATGCTAGCGTTCAGTGATTGATTGATTTGTGATCAATAAGTGGAATAAAATATTCACCAGAGGTGGAAATGATTCTACTTCCTGTTCGCAGCAACGTCTCTCCGATCCCGTCGCCTCCGGCAGCCAGCAGCCCGCGAGGACGAGAGCGAACCGCCGGCAACAAACCTCGCAGGTTCATCAACCGCTCATATACAGCCAGCAGTTAGCTTAGCATAAAGACTGTAAATGGGTGGTTAGCTTAGCATAAAGTAAAGTTATTCTCTGCCACCACATTGAACCTAAAACTAAACAGTGATTGAAACGTTATTGATCCGTTATCGGTCCTCAGGCCGTCCATCCTGGAGCGTTGTATCCTGAAAGTGTCGACCAGCAGCGTGGCTGTGGGGACGGACGATCTGGACGGAAAGAGGTCAGCAGACTGAAAACACTTATTGAAATGATTATTGATTATTGATTACTGAAGGAGTTTGTTTCCATCATGTTTGTGAGCGTCTCTTTGTATTTACTGCCACCAACTGGCCACCAGTGGAATAACACTCGTGTTCTGCAGGCCCCCCCTCAGTCGCTGCTACCCCCGCCTCCCTGACCCGGCCAACACCGAGACCAACACTGCGGTCCTGAAGCGGCGGCAGAAACAGATCCAGTATGGCAAGAACACCAGCGGCTACCAGAACTACCTGCAGCAGGTCCCCAGGTGAGAATCCTCCTCCTCCTCAAAGGACTGGAGCTGACACATTGGTCCCCCTCCTCCCCTCCCACCTAGAGCCGAAGGATCTGTCTAGGTTTTCGCCTGTTAAGCAGTTTTCCTTGCCCTGCTCTCCAAGGTCTTGCTCATGGGTGGTACTGTTTTTTGGTACTCTGTAAAATGTTAAAAGGGAGTTCGGTCTAGACCTGCCTCTATTGAAAAAGTGTACCTGAGATAACTTCTGTTATGGATTGGCGCTATACAAATAAAATTGCTGACTGAATACGGTGTCAGCAGGGGGTGCTACAGAGAAGGTTGTGGTAAAACATAAATCCTAAAACCATCAGTAAGTTTCTCTCAGACAGGGCGCTTGCTGCTAGAGATTAATGGAGGTGTATCGGGGGTGATCTGCTCTTTAACTCTGCTCCCTCGTCTTCCTCAGACACCTGAGGGATCCTAAGCTCCACCCGTCCACTCCCAACAAGTACAGGAAGTACAGCCGGCGCTCCTGGGACATGCAGGTGCGTCTGTGGAGGCGAGCGCTGCACCTGTGGGACCCCCCGACCGACTCGCAGCCGGACGCCACCGACACACGGGACCCAGTGGAGCAACTGTAGGTGGACGCTGTGACCAGAGCGGTTATCTATGACGTCAGCTGAGCGTTGATGAACCTTTGAACGACTCCTGGTGGTAAAATATACTTTGTGGTCTTTTGTAGGCAGAGCCAGCTGGCCAAGATGACCTCTGACCTGTGTGAGGACGGAGGAGACAAGCAGAGAGAGAAGGAGGCTCCAGCAGCCTCTAAAGCCTCCTCTGTGTCTCCTCTGTCGGCTGTGACGTCGCTGGAGCTGCCTGGACCCTGGACCAGCCCGCTCTCACCGGTAATCGCACTGAATGATCCGACGGCTGCTTCCAGATCAGTTAATGGCGTCGACGTGTTTCTATCTAAACCTTCTTCCCGTCAGGAGGCCGGTGGGGGCCACAGGCCTCTGCGCTCTCCTCCCGGCCTGAGCTACTCCTTCAGGAGTCAGCTGACCACTGACGACAACATGACCGACTGGCTGCGCCTCCTGCTGGAAGCCGACGACGGCCAAGGTGAGGTCACAGGTCAGGTGTTACCGTGACAACACAGTTGTTCAGAGATACAGTAGGAAGCTCAGACGGGTTCAGACACCAAAGTTAGTTACAGCTCGAAGCTAAAGTTAGCAGAATATTAGCTAACGATTGCTGTAGATTAATTAGTGTTTAAGATAACTAAATGTGGTGGAGAGCAGTGGTACCGAGGTTCTGTCTGACGGGTTCTCTTCTGGTTCTTCTGGTAGACTTCGGCTCTGATGACCAGCAGGTTCCGGTCTTCTCTGACCAGCTCCTGTGGAACCCGTACTGATCCAACGTCTGCCGGTCTGAAGCCCACGAGGTTCAGCCGTCCTCACCTGCACCTCGTTTAACGTGTTGATCCTGAGTGTGTGAGTGTGTGAGTGT